CTGAAATTTTAGACCGTCAGCTTGAAAGGGTATTAAAAGCTTTTCGTATCACATCATATTTAATGCGAATATGTAAAGTTGGGAGCTTTTATAATAGCACTTTAAATAGTTGCCGCGTACACGGTTTAGCAAAAAAGTCTAATAGGTTTGAATTTGCTTAGAGCCTTCTGTCTATCCTAAAATGTAGGTAGGTTACCTAACCCTGGTCGCCAATACAAATTGTGTGGCGCTATCCCCAGCCGGACAGTTTACCAACGTCCGAAATTTCATCCTAGACAAATGTTTAAACATCTAAAAGCATATTGATTAGTCTTGCCTGACTTATAGACATATTAACTGTCGAAATAGCTCCGAGTGCCTGCCTTTCAGTCTAGCCTAGGCGCGTCGCAGGGCGTGGGCGAAGCTAATTTTATTATAGTTATTGTAACTAACAATATTACTGGCACTGGTGGTGATAATGTAGTATTGATATCACTAGAGTACGGTTCATTCACATTGTGCGCTGTCAGGGAGAGGCTGCGATCATTTATCTGTGTTTATGAAACTTAACGTCACATTTCTTGCATCTGTGCTATAGAACTGTTTGTTAAAATAATGAGTGAGTATTTTTACTTCATACATAACAATCGATGCTTGATTACTAACGGACTCTTCATTAGTTTATCACGAAATAACCAGGCGTTCATTAAAGATTTTAATGTGTTGGAACATTCCTAGACTTACTTAACGAGTATAGTTAGTTACGTTGTTCCTTTTATCTCGCTGCTTCATTCCTGGAGCTGTCTCTTTATGAACCTAAATATGTTATCGTCAGATTTAAAGGAACCAATTTCATGTACTCGTTTTTACTTGTGTATGTGAAATTTATTTTGCGCAAGTGTTTCAGCGGCTCCGAAGTAGCATGTTTTCGATTAAGCAATTCTCTTAAATGGTAAAGAGACGAAACTGCTACCATATGGTCACAAGACTCACAAGCATCCCGCCGTGACTCACTGATTGAAATTGAAAAGTAAAGAGAAAATGTCATCGACATGACACATGTCTGATTATTCTGATTAATTCACTACGTTGCGTTGTTGTTAATGCCCATTAAAATAATGACACAGTACTGTTTACACAACATAGTGAAACATTACATGTGTTCCATTTAGTTAGATAAATCAATTAATCTTTTGATGAAATTTAATCCGGTTTTAAGACCGTGCAATAGTTTTTGAAACGTGGATACAATCGTACCGACCAAACAATTTAGCCGTGCGGTCAATCGTGCTATGACCAATATAAACTGTCACATATTGAGGACGTTGTACTTTTATATACGTAGGAATTTAGAATTCTGTTAATGGACAGTGAACCCGTTGAAATATTACCCGAATAAAAATCTCCATCTACTTCAGTGGTAATATCAATTTTACTTTTAAAATACGGTACTTCATTATCTTTATTTAAGGCAAGAAAACTCAATTTAAGGAGATTACTTTAGAAAAAACCTTGAACAATCACTTCACTACTCCTTAACTAAATCAGGAAAGTTTTGCTCTATTTGCCGAAGTTCGTGTAAAAACGGATCCAATTGATATAAAGCTTTCAATTTCAGATAAACTATTTATAGAGCATTGAAAGATCTTCAAGGATATCCTAGGGATGGTTTAGTGAATGATAATCCACTTTACTTTTACTTCTTTGGTCCTAATTGAATATACATTTAGAGGATTTTGCTTGAAGAACTACTGATTACAGCTCATGAAAATTATTCTTTTTGCGCTTTTGGGAGATCCCTAATTTGCTTTTGATTTAACACAGTACAATAATGTAATAAATTGCCTTCTAAATTGCCTATTGTAACGGTTTTCTTCTATAATAAAATGTAAAGTGAAATTTGTTAGTATCCAATTCATGTTATCTTCCAGTACAATTTGTTTTCGTCGTCGCCATGTTGTTTTAAGTTCCAGTCGTAAGGTCCGATTGATTTTTTGCCTAGAAGAATTGGTCCATTGAAATATTATTTTGTATAATACAATTTTTGCGCTTGGGACAGGAGATCTTTCTACTACGGAATTTATAAAAGATAAAAACGTTGATGGCATAATGATTTATGTTAATTATTACGAAACGTTCAATGAAAAGTTCGCAGTACACCTAGGTATAAACTCCTATAATTTTTTTGCATTTAACTTATACATGTTATGCTGTGTCAAAGAGTACTGCTGAGTCAAGTCAGGTCGCATCAAACGAACAAAGCGTCCGGCGTTGTGTCCGTTCAACTCTCAAAGAGAATTAAGTATTGCAAACCATTGCACACAATGCACCGCAGTTGTATAGTTGAAAATAAAACGTAAAGAGGTTTTAAAAGACTGTAAAGTGTCACTGAACGCTATCTATGGGATAATGTAAGTACCAGGAAACTTGTAAAATACAATAAAGAAAATAAAAGCTTTAAAAGGAATTCAGAGATTTCACAGTTTCCTGGGCATTTACAATTTATAGAAAACAAGTGGTAAAAGCTTATAAATATGACTATGCTAATTCTTTACCGTTGTATTTAAATGTCAACTACTAATACTAGAACTACAATCTACAAAATTGTCTGTTCTTCCAACCGAACTATTACTTACATTCAATACGTTAAAGTGAACAACTATTTGTTTTAGTCTGTGTACACTTATAAACTATTTAACTCGTCGATGTTAATTGGCTGTTTACTCACAACGGTCTCATATAGATAGATACGTAAAAAACAGCATTCTAGACTTTTCGTATCCGGTTTTTCAACCTCTGGTCTCCGGAATTCAATAAAACCAGCAGTGTCTTATCATTTATTGATATTTTGTGCTAAGTCATGCTATTTATAAACATTATACTAATTGCCCTTTATAAGCTTCTGATAAAAGGAACATTCTTGGCTTTACCGCGGACAAAAATGTATTTTATGGTGAGCTTCGTCGATTTAATGTCGATGTAAATCGACGTCGAGTAATTTGCTTCTTTTCACTCAAACGTTTTTGTGTCATCCGATGAAATTTATTTCGATTGATCATTCAAATTCTAAGAGTATCTTAAGCCTCGACACACTAACTTTCATTTCACCTACAAATGACAGTATTTACGCTATTGGCAACACCAAACAGTTGGTGTTCAATTGAAAATCAATGGGTGCTAAGTATTTTTCCTTAGCCCTAATTAATTTAACACTTTAGTGTTATAGGGAAGTTGTCGTTATGCAACGTAATGGAAGACATGCTATTCAGATTTAGTTCTATAGTCACTTGTGTGTACCTAGTGTACTGAATCTGTTTTGCGTGTGCGTATGTAACCTGAACATACAATTTCCTACACAGATCAAATTCGCCGTGCCGAACAATGGCGCGGCCCGTGCCGAGTCGTCGACAGCCGGCAACATCAGCCACATTGCTAAAACGCACTAATCACAACTGACCAACTTTCCGTTTGTTACAGGTACTATGACAGTCTACGCCGCACACCGAGACCGTGAGTCATCCGTTGATATGACGCCTGCTGACGTATCACAGAAAACATTGACACTATTATCATTAAATATATTAATTCAATTAAAGCAACGTAGAAAGGAAAAGAGGTTAATTGATTAAGGAATTATTTTTAACTCAAACACACTGGATAACATTATCATAACTTATTTACTTAAAACTACTAGAAGGGTCAGTCGACTGGTTTGTGTGTCCCATTAGAACAGATTGCTGGTTTGATTTCTTGTTATGAACTGAAAATTTTATGTGTCTAGTCAAGCGAGCAATCTACGTATCTGTTATACCTACATAGAATACTGTGTCAGTGTCCGAAGTTGACTGATTCTTTTAGAAGTTCATTTACTTCCGTAATGATGATGATGATGTCATAAATTTATGTGACCCGTCAGTAAGGCGCTTTCTGTGTCAATTGAAATTGTATAGCGTCATAGCTCCTACTAAGGTCTCTTTCCTGATATTTATTGAAAAGTATGTCATGACTTGTCACAATTTTTAGCAATGCCCTATTAGCTAGTTGGCAAAAACACTTTTCATATATCTAACGACACATTTTCGGCTACAATTTATATTCTTCAGTTCTAAGGAATCACAACTAAAACCCATAAATATTAGAACAGCAAAAGATCTCTGTTATTCACTAAAGTTTCAGAACTTAATATTAAAATATGAAAAGAGTCCCTATGAATGTCTCAGAAGTCGCTCGGAGACTGAATAAATGTTTTGTTAGTCATCATAATACAATATTTATGTCTGTACACATGTCTTTGTGTACCTAACGAATTTGTGGTGACTTGAAAATATTACACAAAACACAATAGATTGTCAAATACTTGATCTTAGTTTTTTCATAGTCTATTTAGTCAGGTAGAGATCTTTCTAGGAATTATGTTTCTCGCTATACTATTTGAATTTACTATGTACGTGACTTCTAGTCAATTTGCAACTCTTTGTAACGCATTTAAAATATAACATACTCAAATCATGTTTCACTAAATTGTAATCAGGATTATCGCAAAACGTTTGCAAACCAGTTGCTTTTGATGGTTTTAGGAAACCGCGGGTTTGACGCGTTAATGATTCACGGAATCGGTTGAGATTTTTTTTTTTCGTTAAACGTTTTATGGTAGTTTTTATTTTTTGATAATAGATTTATGTGTGTAAAAAATACAAAAGCAAAACCTGTGATGACTGCGAGATGTTATTTAAAAATAACGCTCCAAAGCGAGGTTGGAACTGTAAAAAAATTTGGAGTCATTGAAGCGACGAGCAGTTTCACAGGTTTTGCTTTCATACAAATATAATGAACATTTTGTTTCCACCGAATTAGGGTTTTCTATTTCTACACAGCGAGAATATTCGCAGTTTTTGTGTCATAACGCCATTCAATAGATCGACCTTTGTTTTTTTGTAATTTTTTTCATCACCGCCAATGCAACACCTGGCTCTGCAAGACTATCGGGTTCGTTGGCCTTTTTACATTATGCAGAGAAAAATATGTGGATGGCGTTACGAACCTTTTCTAGCCTTTTTAGTGCTATCTCGTCCTGTGCCCCGCCAAGAAAACCCACCGTCAGCAGATCGTCCTCAGGGTATGAAGTTCTACATGGTTTGTTGGCAAGGCTACACTTGTTTTTGATTTTTATTTTTCTCATACATACTACTCGACTTACCATTCATTTTTTTTGTTTCCTTTTTTACTATTTTTATCTGTGGAGCATTTAACGTATAGTCTGCGTTAATTAGATGATCACGCAAATTCTAATCTTACAAGCACACTCACTGACGTAACGGTTAAGTTTAGTACATGTAGCGCCATCTAGCGTCGAGTAGCAAAACTAGTTACTCGTTAAATCGTCGTAGTTGCGAGTGTTCTTAGTGTGCAATAGAGCATCTACAATGTATTCGTATACTACCTATTTATATTTTTTTTATATTGAAACAAGTCTTTCTAGTATACAGACACATTTAAAAATGTTATGCAATATCTACCTACACGAGTTCATAATAATGGATAACGTCAAAAAAACAAACATTCAAAGTATAAAACGTTACATTATCAAACGTTAAATATCTAATATCAATTTTATAAAATTGTGACGTCAGTAGTTTAGTCGATGTAATTGTATTCTTCTGAAGCGAACGTGTTTTACGACGCTCTCGACATGAGCCCGGATAGCTCAGTCGGTAGAGCATTGGACTTTTAATCCAAGGGTCCAGGGTTCAAGTCCCTGTTCGGGCGGCTCTCGTTTTGCTTTTTGTCAGTTTACTTATTTCCTTTGAAGATTTTCTTTTTAATATTTTTGTATATTTGGTAGTGTTTTAGTCTTCAAATTATTTCTTTTTTTTTTCTTTTTACGTCTTAAGGTAATCCAACAAAATTAGTTAATTTTGTACTGTTTTGCGCTCTGATTATAAACTACTTATTTAATAAGTAAAAAAAATAAAGTGGCATAAAACACATTTAGGTTCTTACATACATATTTGTTATTTTAGATTTTTCTTTTATTTTCGCTCTCTTAAAAACAAAAGTTTCATAAGTACCACTTGTTTTTTATTTGTTTGCAGGTTTACACAATTTCTTATTGTAAAAAGATAAAAATATTATTGACTGACAAATAAATATTAATATATTTTGTAACAGCGCCATCTGTATTACTGTGTACGCGAAGTCTACGAACAAGTGTACGGTATTACATACAACAAGTCAGCTTTACTAAGTAACTACAACAGTTGGAACTAGGTGGCGCTAGTGGCACAACAAAAATAACTCTTGCCAACTTGGATAGAGGGCGGTAGTAGTCTGACATTTACATACCAATTCTATAAGTTCAAAATATTTACAATTAAGATTAACGTTTTATAAATGAAATAAGTCAACATTATGCTTATTTTTATGATGTTAGTCTTTAAATAGACACTTGCTAATGAGTAAAATACGGTAGGTGTGAGGATCTAAATAAGTCCTCATTTAATTAGATCTTTGCGTGGACCACCCGTTTGTTCTTAATATTAGACCTCATTAATGTTAATTAAAGTTGACCTTACTCTACACTTGAGGACAATTGCTATAAATATCTAGGAAGATACTAATTAGGAATATTTTTTAAAGAATACATAAATAGACTTAAAGCAATAAGGGACTTAAGCCAGATTATTACTTCATTACTCCATAGAATCACAAGATAAATTTTAATTCAGAGCAATTAAAACATTTCAAATTATTAATCTACCAATTCGGCTTATTATTTTGGAAACAATAACAACAACAACCTTATCAATTGCTCAAAATGACCTTGCAACCAATGTAAACAATAAAGTTACTAAAACAATTATATAACATTACACTAATTAGAGTATGACTCGTAATCGTTAGCGTACTCTTAGCTAAGATAATAAAACCTAACCTAGATAAAATTATTACGTTTTATTACTTATTAAGACATTTGAACTGAACTAGGTACGGCAATTAGGTGCTAGATCGCGTAATCACTTCGATGTTTCGATAAACAGCTGATAGGCTATTAGAAATTTCATCACACAGTTTCATCCGCTGCTCGGCTCGTATTGACGATAGCGTGATGTTTTATAGCTTACAGTCTTCCTAGATAAATGGACTATCCAACACACAAATAATTATTCAATTCGACCCAGTAGTTTCGGAGATTAGCTCGTTCAAACAAACAAACAAACAAACAAACAAGCAAACAAAATCTCCAGCTTAAATATTAAGTAAGCATAGATTAAGACATCACAACTAGGTACACCAATTAAGTACTATCGCGTAATCTCTTCGATAAATATTTGATTAACTATTAGAAATCCGTTTAAATTGATATAGTGACATTATTTTCTTGTCACATAAACCTAAAACACGTTTGTAATGGCAACTTTGGTTATTAATATAGCTAGGAATTATTTATGTTAGTTGTCGATATGCAACAGTTTCGATGCGTCATTTTGTCATCTGCCGGTTTAATGCAATCGACACAAGTCTGTGTGTGAAACTTGTATAATTTATTGTGTAGGTACTGGTATTTGATTGCAATGTGGATGATCTCATTTTATTTGTGTTGCAATTTGTAGCTGTCAACTTTCAAAGCAGATGCTTTAAAAAAAATTTCATGAGACCTCTACAGATATACATTAGAATAGGTTTAGTGCTCAGGACATTAAAAAACTATTATTTTTTGCATTTCTGCTATAGTATGACCACGGTGAAAGAAATAATGACGGACCCTCTGATTGTAGAATAAACTCCCAAGGTCTTCAAGAAAGGAGGTTTTTAAGGGTCGGCAAGGCGCATGTATGCGCTATGTGTTGCAAGCGTTCATAGTCCACGGTTACCACTTACCATCAGGTGGACCGTGCGCTCTTTTTGCCACGGTCGTGGTATAAAACAGAAAAAAATAATAACAAGCCAAAGATTGGCAGAAATAATCCGAAAATAGATTCTAGAATCCCAATAAGCTAAAATATTAGGAATAATTTTATAAACAGTCAAAATTTCAAGGCTCATAAAGCTATTTAAGTTATACATAATTTATTAGTTGTCTTGTGACGGTGCGTAAATTTATTGAACGATGTCAAGATCGGCCATAGTTACACCTACGATTACTAATAAACGAAACATCTTTTACTGCGAAAATAATCAAAGGTTTAATGTGACAATTGACATTATTTCAGCCCCTGCTAATCGTTCTGATGAAAGATATAAAACCTACCCACATGTCTATTTTGACATAAAGTACTATTTGTACACGTTAAACAGTAAAAATAATGATATATCTAACGACCTATCATAAAACTTTTAATTTGTCTCGATAAGTAATTTTCCGAGACTATAAATTATGAGCCCCACTAGTGCTAATAATACTCATGAGTCTTGAAAATAGGCATATGGGATATAATAATACCTATAATAAGTCTATCAGTTTTTTTACGATGTTTCCTATAAACATTAGTATTTGTTTTTCATAAAATCGGGTTCTACTATTATCTCTAATCTCATAAATTAAGACTACGTAGATGGATATAGAGACATAATAAAAACTACGATTCAACACAAAGCCTGTTTTAAATAAAAACAAAAAGAAATTATGACCTTTTTTGAGATAATCTAATCGTTTTATATGATTTTAAATTGGCTTGTTGACACCCAATTCACTAAATATGTAAGTGACCTTCAATCTTCTCTATTAATAATATTTAAATTAGAATTATACATGCCTTATACATTGTTTAGCTCTGGTATTACCAAGAAATGTATTGTTTACTTCAACCATTTCTTAGATAACAATCTCAAGAAGCAGATAAACAGCTCATTTTTAAATAATTTGTAGCTCTTATGTTCTTTTTTCTAAGAAAACGTTCAATTACTATTCAATCATTTAGAATTTTATTCATGTATGATGTAGGTACCAATCTTGGAACATTCTATGCGATATGCTTAAACTTTCCAGTATTAAATTTCCTGATCAAAATTTCAATTTTTAAATTTTCCTCCTCGTTTCCATGGAAAGAACAGCAGAGTAGGTCATTTATTAGTGACTTTCAGATTACCAAATTTGGAAAACTGAGACCTAATTCCTAACAACAAGGAAAATCAATGCAACCGCATTGAATGAAATGAAATGATATTAGTGAATTATTAAAGTTAGATCTCGACAGTCTTTCCAAATAATATTAACCACATTTTGCCTATAAATGTACGTAGGTAATCTGGTTTCCAGTTGGATACAATGCATTTTAATACAAAATCTGATGTCAATACAAAATTATTATGATGATGACCTAATAAAGAAAAGCATGAATACCTTATTAAAATCATTGAAAACCTATTTGTCATTACAATTTGAAAAATATTTATTTTCGCTCTTTAAAACATAATATAATTCGGTTATGTAACAACAATGGCGGACGTGTTTTAAACACCTCGTCGCAATCGGAAGTCCGCAAATATTTGCGTTAAATTAACCGACACTACTGTCTTTTCAAGGTTCTTCTTAAAAACATTTTTAATGTGTTTATTAAAATATTTAATAAGTATGTATTCACGTAAATAACTGTTTAATATTTTACTCGAGTCAGGTTTCTGAAAAGGGTCATAATCAGCAAGGTTATTCGCATTGCAACCTTTAACTTTATTAACCATTCACTGGGGTGCAGTTATTGGCTTGCATAGGTTACGATAACGACCATTATTATGTGGTTTTCAATCTGGTTATTGACAAGTAAAATCAATTGTGGTTTCAAGTTTCATTACTAGATACTTCAGTACTAAGTTATAACCACAATTTTGTAACTTGCAACTTAATGGTTACTCGTTATTCTTCTGAATTGAAAAATCTTGTTAAAACTAAATGATCATCGTGTATTCTCATGCATGTCGAGTTTTTGTTTTGTTCTTGTTCTACATTATGCACAAAAAATGCTTCTAAGTATTACATAAAATTCACAAAAACAAAAAGACGGACTTTGTACGACTGATTCTAGTCCAGCAACACTAGTAACAGTTTATGTTTGAAGATATCTTGCTTTACAAGCAGTAGCACAGGCACAGCATGGTATAAAGTACGAAGTTGACTTTATGAAGATCTTACTATTGTAATTCATATTCATGCTCATAACTTCCTTCTAAAGGCACTTTTACGGACTTATTTGAATACATTCAGCCACGCCAAGTCACTAGTTGTATTTATAAAAGGCACTCCAACCGGTTATGCTGTTACG